TCTCTTTAGAGAACTTTCTGCCGAACACATCGAAGCTGGCGGAGGTTTGAGAGTAGCAATCTTGATAGGGATTATAAACATCGTTCCTAAAAAAAAGAATTTTTCAGATAAAGTAAAAATACATTTAGAACGTAAAAACGAAGTAGTCATAATTTCTAAAAAGCACATTTTCTTTATGTTAACTTTTTATTTGCTACCTACTACAATTTTTTTGCGGTGGGGTAGCACGTTTATCTAATACCTCAACCCAGCAAGGTTCAATGCTGATTTGTTGCCCCTCAGATTAGTCCCGTTGACCGGTGATTACTGATGACACTGGTAGAAAACTATCTGAGAGACTTGCGAAACGATGGATCCTCGTGGAGTGGTGGGCGTTAAACCGTGAAATGGTGGTAGCGTATATCATCCATACCGCAAACAGCTGCGGTCTGGACATTTTCAAGTATTTCAGCGTTATTATATCTTCTTTAGTTTGCAAAAATGGCAATCTTTTTTTTAGCTTAAAGAAAGTTGATGAAGTCTTAATTATGAATTGAGATAAAAAAAGCTCCTAATTCATATTCCATACTCGAGTAGCTGCTAGATTAACGACCAGCATTTCTTATCGGATGGATTTATAAAATTCTTCGGCTCAGTGGAAACTGAATTAAGTTTAATTGTGGTTTTATGAGTTTGCTAGAGTAATTCAAAAAAAACAGAAATTTTGCCGTTTTGACTAACACTAACAAAACAATCATAATTGCTGTAATCTGATAAAGAGCTGCTCCCTGAAGTTGGGCAGCATGTACGAAGTTCGTCCCACTCACTGAAATCATTGAATACGAAAGATAAACCGTTGCTATAACTCCTACATGTAGTCAGAAAAGACGCCTTTCTAACAAAGCTCATTTCCACTTGATAAGACATAGCAAGCCTCTACAGATTCTTTTTTGTTTGCACTCACTTTCCATTCTTTTACTGTCATACAGTACAGTACCACCTAGTGATCTAACATATTTCTTTAACACTTAGTGGCGTACTCCTAAGTGTTATCGAATTCACAAAAATAAGCGATAAGAAAAAGCAAAGTGCGGTTTTTAAAGCGAATATTCCTAATAGAAAATAGTGAAAATCACCCCATAAGAGCCGACTTAGCAAAGAAATTCAATTTTAAGTTAAGTTTTACGCATATAATGACAATGTCAGCTATTTATTATTATGTAATCACTTTTTATTTACCGCGCATTATTCTTTCATTACAAAGTGCGATGTGAAATATAACCACAGTGTTGTTGAGATATTTGCGAAACTCCGGGCCGCGATGTCTGCGGTTAGGTTTGAACCCGTTATTACCCTTTACGAGGTCTAACGTGTTCACCACCACACCATGCGAGTCCTTTGTTTCGCCTGTCTCTCAGCCGTGTTTTAACCTACAGGTGCTGTCAGGAATAACCTGATAACGGGATAGATCTGGAGAGCAAAAATCGTCACCGAACTCAGTTGAGGTGAAGCTGCAATATAAACCGCAATGTAGTCACTCAGTCACAATGTATTTACTACCTATTCCATTCCCACCGCAGGCACATACGGTTCGGAGTTTTGCAAATGTCTTAGCATCATTGTACACATAAGGAACAACGTGGAGGAGGAATTAGTCAGAAGAAGGAGAACGGGATGGGTCATATTCGAGCCTCTCAAAGAACCACTGACCAACTAGCAATATAGAGAATATATGGTTGAAACCTTTTTGCTCAAAGGTTATCTCAGCGCTCCATTTTGAAGCGGACACGTTGGCTTTTACCTCGATCACATTAAGAACTGTGCGGACCATCAATAAAACGCCTAAACGATGTCTTCTGAAATCTAATCGGCACTCACGACGCCTAGCCGGAATGCGCAGCTCAGATCTGCGAAACAAAACATAAACGCGTCCATCAACAGACAGGAAACAGATGAATGAGGAAAAGAACTTCAGAGTAGACTCCATCAGGTTGCAAACGCTTCCTGGAACGACCACTTGCACCTAAGTATTTGTAACGGAAATCAATCAGCTTTCTTGGCAGCTGCAGATATTTTATAGATAACTGTATAACAACCTTAACCTTTTTTATTTACTGCCTACTATAATTTTTAACGGCAGGGTATGATGTGAAATAAAACTAAGATAATGCTGAGATATTGGCAAAACACCGGACCGCAGGTGTCTGCGGCGGGGAACGAACGCACTATTGCCCTAACCGGGGAGTAACGCGTTCACCACCACACCATGCGGGTCCTCCGTTTCGCCTGCTGATGGCGCCGATCAATAGAACTAGCTGAGAAACAGGCGAAACGAAGAACTCGCATGGTGTGGTTACTTCCCGGAAAGGACAATAGCGCGTTCGTTCCACACCGCAGACACCTGCGGTCCGGAGTTTTGCCAATGTCTCAGCATTATCTTAACTGTATAACAATCGAACACGCCACTATGTTGTAAGTAAACAGTCACCCTAGACGATGACTAATGGGCGGAAAAGCGAGTGGAAAATGTACTGGCGTTCGTACTACCCTTGAAGACTGGCCGTCAAAGTATCCAACTAAGTAAGGAAATCATTAGAACCTACATTTCTTGTTCTTCCATGATTTTTACTTCAGTGAATGCGAATGATCGAGTGTTTTTTTAAGGCATAGTTGATGATATGCTTGTGTGAAACCACTAGGTTTTCAAAACTTTCATTGATTGAAAGAGTAACGGCTATTTGGATACTTGGATGGCCCATCTCCACTGGTTGTGTGGCACCAGCATAACTTTCGTTTCCTCGGAGTTCTGCTGGTTTAGCTTCTGCGGTTTCTTGGAATTTCTAAGTTAGTCTTGCCAAAGTGTGCTCTAGGTCTTCAACATCAACAGGCAGTCGTTGACCTTTGTAGACCAGAAGGAGATTTGCCACCAAGCCACTAGTCTGATGCTAGGAGGGCGGTGGATCATGGCATTGGCTTGCTTCTCGCTGAGATTTCTAATGAAACAGCGGACTCCTTCTCAGCTTTGGTAACGCTGTTAGGGAGATGAATCTCTTCGCTATACATCCACGTATTCGTCGTTTTGCAGTGCCACTTTTTTAGTTCCAAGAGGAAAACGAGCACGAAGGAATGGATTCCAGTCGCTCTCTTCCATTCTAGAATAGCGCGCGCTATCATGCCCATCTAGGACACGCCAATACTCATACTCAGTAATACGCAAAATTTGCGCATCGCTGTGCCACCAGCGAGTTCATGCCAGTCGTATATCAAGGTGTAATACCGACGTTTTGCCGTAAATTTCATGGAAATACATAAAGTCAGGAAGCGATCGAATCTGTAAGCCGACAACTGAGCACTACAGTAATCTCTATGACAAATAATGTTCACTCACATTCTGAATAGTGCTAGGCATTCCTTCACCAATAGCCATTCCAGCAAGACTGGTGCTGATTTTCTCATCCTAAACATTCGCATAGCTAAAATCTTGGCTTTATTTAGCAAACAACGGTCGAAGATGGTTTTTCGACAAGTGACGACAATGTGCTGATGAAAATGAAGCCAGAAATTTTTTTTAACTCAACCATTAACAATACATTAGGAAGCACTATTATATCTTGGAAGAGGATATTCCGGAGTAATGACGCATTCCCAGATTATTAGACGCACAAATCTATAAGAATTATCGATCAGTGCCCAGGTTAGTAGCAAATCGAACCTGAGAATTCTAATGATATCTTTTTCAATAGGGCCAGAGTGAGCAAGCAAGGATATTGTTTTAGAAAATTCTTTAGAGTTAAGGTATTTTAGCCTAAAGTTGCAAGCAGTCACTGTCCTCTCACCAAAAGCACTTTACCCAACAGATCTCTCATGTTATTTGTTAATGAATCACTGTGGAATTTAAAGACGGTTTCTTTTGCAAACAATTCATTAGTAAACCAAAGTTTTAAAAAAAATCGGTGCTAACCATGATTTTCTCTGTACCAGTAGACAAATCAAAGTAGATACGTACACGCCACCATTGGACTCTCCAATTACATAAAAGTCATTCTTCATGAAAATAGGTTACATGTTGAAGAAGTTTAGCGCGAGCAATAGATGATTGGCAGTCTATGTGGAAATCGGTAAACAATAACTAAGCAAGAATTAGTGCAAACGTTAGAAGTAAACTTTCGTGAACAGTTTCTTTTTACTTTGTCATCGTTCCAAAGTCGTTCAACGATGGTACCTGATATGAAAATCCGACCATTCAAGGTGATTCCAAGTAAAGGATATTATTACCCTACAACATCTTCCATCACGTTACAATGGCAACAGTAACAACAATAAAAGGGTGCCAGATATTGATCAATCCCTAAGAGTGCGCTGTGCATTCGGATTCATTAGCATCATTGTAGAGGTGAATGAATATGTATTTGGTCTCGAAAATTATTTGTGGTAGTCTACAGATGTAATAAGGCAGCGCGTTTTTCCTTCAAGACCACTCCAGTACCAATTTTCCGACCTCGGACGAATGGCGCACTTCTTTATTTGGATGTGTAGGGCCGAAATAGAGGATAATAGCATTGCATAGGACTTCTACCAATGCACAGATGGTAATAATAATAGTGGCAAATAATACTTGCGTCTGAAATAACCAAATGGTCGCTTATTGCTCGTTGATGGTTAAATAGCTTTTGATACAGCAAAGGTCTAGCATTTCTGGGTCAGTCACTGGACAATGGAAGATGAGCACAATTTAATTGATGGCATAACATTCATTTTACAGAAAGAAAAACAGTGGTTAAATAATATTAAAAAAACCTTGTTCCACGAGTTAATATTTTCAAACAGTGTAGTCCCGTCTGGATTTGGATGGAAAGAGCCATTCTCAGTGAGCAGTCCACCTAATGAAGAGCAACCAGGTCCACCATTTAGCCACAACAACAAAGGGTCTCCTGTGGATCATTTAGTGACTCGACTAACCTAAACACACTTTTGTTCAGATTGCAAAGAGTGAACTCAGATTACAATTTTCATCTCTATCTCTACCAGTAGTGAAGAAGAACATGGGGGCTGACACGAAGATAATCGGAATGTTGATGAAAATCTGGCTTGAAGATCAGACCGGAAAGAGCAAAGATCATATCGGCTTTCATTCGAGGTACTAAATCACATAGTCCTAATGAATTAAAACAGTTACACAAAACATATGGAAATGAGTACTGACGAACCGGTGGGGATAATTGGCTTATACTGCTCCAAAAGAGGTTGTCGACTCAAGTTAAGGGTTAGCGGAGTGCTGTAGCCCTTATTACAACCGAAGTTGTGGAACATTTGAAGAGCCTGACCAGGTCGGTCAGTGGGAACGAAGTGACCACCACCCTAAAATTCTGTGAATTTAAGAATTTCGTTTTTGAAATCGAATAGAAGAGGGTTTAAATACTGAGTTAGTTTACCTTCACAGTTAGTAAATCGATTTGAACTTTATTATTGTAGATGAGAGACTTGACGTAAGCTCCGAGTTGAGTAGCGTAGCCAAATCGATGAATTGAATTGAGTAATGAACGGTATACGAACATGGATTACCACTTATATGTTTTAATAGTATCACTTTAATAGTTAGAAAACCAGTATTACTATATTTTAAAAATCGTAAGAATTTCGTTCATTACGTCAGCTATGAGAGTCGATCGATACTCATAGAATTCGCCGGCATAACAAAAATTTCTTCGACCTGGGAAGGCCCAGAATTTTAAAAGAGAATCCAATTAGATCCAATTAGAATCAAAAGAATCTGTGTATGGTAACGAACTAAAAACACTTTATTCCGACTTTCACTAGACCCCAGAGAAAATCAGGTTTCGCCAGTATTCAGGTTGATAATGAAAAACATTACAGCACTTGATGCTGCACGAGCTCGTCTACCTCAATGGCTGACGGTTTCACGACGACAAGACGAAAGCAAGAAGTGCTCGGATCCGTACATCATTAAGCAATGGGCTATTCTATATATGCACCAAGGAGGTAGTGCAGTACTAGTGCAGCTGCTCATTGTGAATAAGAATGATTCAAATAGCGCTCCCCAGCAAACCTCCCATATCTCTGAGGTTAGGAAATTAGTACTTTAGTTGTTTGAGCCCAGCACACTCTAAACATTCTATGTGGAAACGTTCTGCCACAGCTATTTAAAAACTTTAAAGAGAATAAACGTAACTAGCATTCAGCGACGTTCATAAAGAATAGGAAAATCCTCAAGCGGCAGTGGAACATGCAGGCAAAAAGGCCGAAAATTTATGGGTGGTAGGCGCGAGGAAACATGTCGAATAAAGGGAGTGCTGGAATTCGCACCATATCCGCCACGTCCGATCAAGCAGAATTAAGCAAATAATGTCATAAAGGCATATCCTTTTTTGGGACTGAAAAGGAATGCCGGGTTCGTCCTCAGACCCTCACGCCAGGACTCCTCAACATGCATGAACTATGAGAAGCCGCACGGTTATTGATTCAGGGACTATTCAGACGTGTGTGCAGGTTCATTGCATTGAACTACAAAGCTTTATTTCCAATGTCATAGTTCCCTGGTTGAGACACACCTAATAATTATATCCAATTGAATGAATACAGCAGTCCTAAGAATTTGCTCACTTTCATTGCGTGTAATTCCACGGTTTTCTTATGCTCGATTTCATTCCAAAGTCTGAGGCTAATTTTTCGACGAATACCATCACCCAAAATCACCGACGAACACCAGACGCTCATC